GAAAAATAGTAGGAAAAAAAAAAAAAAACAAAAACATTTTGGAAATGAAAAGCATTTCCAACATCACCAGGATCTTGTGATCTCTAAATCAGCACTCAGTTTAAAAAGAATCGAGTGTTCTATCCCAAATCAGCTCTAATTACACAGGAATTAATCTGAGCTTAATCAAGATCACACATTATAAATAAAATAGCGCGTTTTCTCTTCACTCTAAGGTTCAGTGTTCAACTCACCCCACTCCTGACTGTTTTAACTTCTAAAAGAATCACCCGTGTTTCCTGCTTTTGGCTGCTTCTCTCGACAAATAAATACAACATAAAATGTGGAGGGGGAAACATAATTATTCTGAGGAGAACCTGCATAAAATCAGGGCAAAGGGATTCGTATTTTAGATCCAGACCACAGAGAGTTGGGTGAATTTATGCCTCGCTCCCAGCGCTGGGCTGTTCCGTACCCAAGATACGCAATAAAACACAATCATCACATCAGAGACCTTCAGGTAGAAATCCCCAAAAGAAGAGGAGAAAGAACCCCCTAAAAAGCTGAATTTGACAGTGGCCTGGGTAATTAGATTAATAATTAATTCCACTTACACCAAAGTGTTTGTTTGTTGGTGAAAACCCTCCCAGGAAATGCATTTAAACTTGGGGCTGGTGAAGCCGCCACTGTCCTCCATAAAGTTCCTTTATATATTTTTCCACAATATGCACAAAACCAGAATATGAAATCAGAAACATTTTACACATTCTCATACTTCAGAGAGCACTAACAGCATTTTACTAGTCGAAAGCACTTTATCTTCATGTCTCTATAAGGCAGAGTTGGTGCATAATAATGTAATTTATATTGCCTAAATGTTATTTTGGGAGCATTGCATCATTTCTCAAACTTCATGACCTTTACAATTTTCGAAACTTTTATTTCCCTCATTATTCTGAACAGATTTCATTACATATTTTGAATGTAAACAACCCTGAATAATGATGGCCCCATTACGGATGTACAGCGCTGACAATCGGGCGCGGGGCCGAGATGGAAACCCAGTGCATTAATTTCCCTCTCATCTCCCGCAACTGCGCTCCCATAAAAAGTTTTATACTCAACTCACATAAATCATGGGCAAGAAAAATGAGAAAATCTGGTGGCTAACTCATCTTCCAGCATTCTGCGAAAATGAAATTCACTGAAATACCTATCAAAACTGCAATCATCAAGAGATAATGTCTGCTTAGGTCTATCTGCACTTTCCGATTTAATTTCCTCCGTGCCCTTGACATCCACAGATACCATTAAGATTAAGCGCCGAGAGTAACTGAGCAGTTCCCCCTTTTTGATATATGGGGCCCAGGCACTAAATGGAATATCATCATTTGAAAATTAATGCAATATTTCTTTTGTTAGTGTTTTTTTTTTTTTTTTTTTTTTTGGTCGCTGTTGGGAGCGGAGCCGTCGCTTCTTCCCCCGCCCCACCCCGCGGTAATTTCCCACCACGGCCCTTAACAAGCACCCACATCCCACCCTGGCACACCAGCACATGGGATGGGATCGTTAGAGCAATGAGCATGGAAATGTGTGTGCAGATTAACCTCTGCTTCAGCTTTCCATCAGCCCCCCGCTGATGGGGGACAGGGCTCAGCGCAGGTGCCAAGGGAGGTGCCACCCGGGATATTTCATGGAGTTATGGACTCTCCCTCCCATCAGTCCCATCAGTCCCATCGTCCACGGCCCGGCCTGCCCCGTCAGATTTACAGGAGTCAAAGTCCTGGAGCAAATATGAAAAGGATGACAGAGGGAAATTAAAAAAAAAAAAAACAAACAGGCCCAGGGGTCAGGTGGATGAAAGGTCAGCGGTGCCCAAACCTGGTGGAGGTTCATTATTAAGCGAGGATGATCAAAGTTTACTTTTTAATAAAGACACAAAGACATGAAAGCCTCCAGCGCTGTTTCATGTGGAGCTGCTCTGGTTTCGGAGGTGGCTGCTAATGCAAAGTGACAGGGTAAAACTGGGTCCTTTTACGAAGTTTAGACCAAATTTGTCGCTGTTGCAACAACAAACTATTTCAACCCTTTGAATATTCCCCCATTAACATATTCTGCATAGGATGGTTTGATACCGCAGCTGTTTGATTAAATAGCTGGAGCTAAAAAGCACAACACCCTCAGAACAAATAAAAAGTGGTGTGTGCACATTAATTTAATACATATTCAGGACAGTGGGATCTCCACAAATCCTTCGGATCTCCAGAGCCCCTCCGGAGGAGGAGCCCGTATTTCATCCCCGTAGGCAAATGGAACCCAAACAGAATGGCTTTTTCCATGGATATTCATAAGCCATTGATCTTCTGCTGCGTGATTGCCTCATATGAACCTGGTCCAGAGCTTCTGAAGGAGCTGGAAAGGTTTCCAGTGTTTAAAGCCCCTGGTTGAGGGGCTGCTCCCGACAGCCACCCACCCCTGACGAGGCTGGGGACACCACAGGGACCATCTCAGGGGGGGACACAGCCAGTCCTGCCACTGCTCCTCAAAAGGCACCTCCCAGGCTGCTGCCACACCTGATTTCGGTGAGATTCAAGTTTAAAATTTACCTAAACAAGCAGCAGTGACCCAAGAGTTCATCCCAGCAAAGCATCTCACGTGGAAAAGGCCTTAACTCTGTGCACATGCAAGAAATGAGACGTGGATGACTGGAATGAGGGAGGAAATAAATGCACCAGCATTTTTTATGGCACCACAAGCTACAGACCAAAATCTCCAAGGGCTCTGGCACCACCAGCACATCCCAGCACCATCTCCCTTCCACTGACCTCATACAGAAAGGCATTTCTCTTGCACATTTTAATTTCAGGATGAAATTTCCCGTTCTTAGAGACTTTCTGCCCAACTCCTTCCTGAAGCAGCTCCAGGATAAAGATTCTGGTCCCATCACAGGGATATCAAGGCCAGCTTGGACAGGGCTTAGAACAACCTGCTCTATGGAAGGTGTCCCTGTCCCGGCAGGGGGTGGGACTGGATGAGCTTTATGGTCCTTCCAACCCAAACCAATCTGGGATCTGGGACGTTTTGATCCCATTGCCCAAACAAGAAGAAAAGCAGGTTATGAAGTTCAGACAAAATGCTACATTGCCATAACTGTACCCCCAGCAGCACATTCCTGATCTCCTCTAAGGCTTCCTTCTCTTCTGGACTAGAGGTGCCTCCTCAGGGATCTTCCCCCAGGAGGGGAACTTGGTCAGAAACCAAGGGGCATGAAAAACGTAACTCCCATTGATTTTCCTAAGGGAATTTTTTTCAGGTTTAATGATTGGGATATGGGAGAAAGAATGTCTTTCATTAAAAAAACAAAAACAAAAACAACCATAGTGAAATAGCTTGTTTTCAAATAATCCACTTTCAATAGGAAAAAAATCTGACCCCTCCCTTCACCCTGACACTGCTACAGTAAGAGACAATTCCAGCCTGCAGAATATAATTGACCAGCATGGAATTTTGCCAGCATAGCAAGATAAACATAATTATTCCTATTAAGAGTGTTAATTAATTGTTTGTGAGCACAAATAATCGGCTGCTTGGTTTTACAGCTCATTAGAAAGCCAACAACTCTCTCAGACATCCCTGTCCAGGGGCCACCAAGCTGTGACCACCAGAACGGGGACAGTGACAGTCAGGGAGGGGGACACTGAAATCAAACTCTAAAAAGAAAAAGAAAATAGTGAAAGCTGGGAAATAAATATTAACAATAAAGAAGTAAAGTACAGTAACGTGTGAACATTTAATAAAGGAGTGGCTTGTTTTGTTTGGGGGTTTTGGTTCTTTGGGGTTTGGGGGGTTTTTTTCTGGTTGCTCCATTGGAAGGAGTCCAGAGGAGGCTCTGGAGATGCTCCAGGGTTGGAGCCCCTCTGGAACAGCCTGGGAGAGCTGGGGGGGTTCACCTGGAGAAGAGAAGGCTCCAGGGAGACCTGAGAGCCCCTGCCAGGGCCTAAAGGGGCTCCAGGAGAGCTGGAGAGGGACTGGGGACAAGGGATGGAGGGACAGGACACAGGGAATGGCTTCCCAGTGCCACAATTTACAAAGGGCAACTGTTGACAACTGTGCCAGGAGACACATCCTTCTCACCCCATGGCACCCAGGTTTGGTTTTTCATGGCAGGATGGAACAGGACGGATTGTTTAGACACTCCATGGCAAAATTAAGCAGCAGTTTGAACGCTCCTCACGATGGACTGAGCCAGACGTGCCGTTAATAGCGAATATTTTAATTTAATGGGATTTAAGAACCTGTTTAAGTGAACTATTTCATGTTCCAGGGATTGCTGGTACAACCAGCCGAGGCTCAACCAGCTTCTGACTTGTGACAATATTGTATTTCCTCCAGTTTTGATCAACTGATGGGTTTTTAATGCTAAGCCTGGCTTGCCATCACTTGGTTTAATATGTTTACTTAACCCAAAAATATTTTGCACCTCAATTATTATTTGCTGCTGCGGCACTGAATGGAATTTAAGCCGATCCATAATTCATAAAGCAAAGACAAGAGAAAACACAAAGCTGTGCACTTCTTTCAAAGCCTCCAAATGACTAAAACACACCATATTTATGCATGGAATATTTGATTGTGTCTCTGGCTCCCCCTTTTTTTTTTTTTTTTTAATTTTTTTTTTTTTTTTTTAATCACAAGTTTGTTGTTTTCAGATCAGGATATGCCAAAAATCCAACACCAAACAATTTTTTTGTTTATAATGAAGGCAATCATCAATCCAAGGATTGTAGCCCCGTTCATTTCATCTCTACATCAAAAAAAAAGTAATTTAAAAAAAATTAAAATTCCCTTGAAATGGGGAGATAAATGAAAATGTGAGTGCCTTCACATAATAACAGTAGGCTGACCCTCTGGGAAATGGTTGACTTTCTCAATTCAAGGTATTCAAAGCTCATTCAAAAGTGTTCATTTGGAATGCAGATATCAAAGATGATGCAAATGTTCAAGAGAAAATTAAAACTTACCAGATGTTCTAATCCAGCTTTGATGTTTCCAGAGTCCCTGTAACAGAAGAACAAAAGTTCTAAACAGTTGCTAAACCCTTGTCTGCAACGATTTATGTTTAACTGGGAGATGGCAAAGCCACGTAATTACTGGAGTATGGCAAATTTTTACTTTTAATAAATATATTTACTTGCAATACCTAAAAAATATTGATTATCTTCTTTACTTAAACCCTCAAACATTACCTGCCTTTAAATTGCTATAAACTGCAGCAGGACACGCATTAAAAAATTTAAAAAAAAAAATCAACATTTTTAATGTAATTATCCCACCATTTCTACTGGAAATAATCCACCAGGACAGGGCACGGGGCTATTTATCAAACCCACATTTGGTGATGTCAACAAATGCAAAGTCTCCAAATTTCAAAGCACTTCCAAAACCATCCCCTGGAAGTGTCCAAGGCCAGGTTGGACAGGGTTTGGAGCATCCTGGGCTGGTGGAAGGTGTCCCTGCCCACGGCAGGGGTGGCACTGGATGGGCTTTGAGGTCCCTCCCAACCCAAAGCATTCCACGATTCCTGCTCTGCGTTTCAGGTGCTCAAGGCCTTTAGGGACTGGATTATTTTGGAGCAGGATGCAGGACACGGCAGGAGGAGCTCCCAGTCCCAGCCCACCCTGCCCTGTGCTGAGAACACACTTCATTCAATTAGAGGCCTCAAAACTGATAAAAAAAAAAAAAAAAAGGTCCTGAAGTGGAAAATGCGAGGAGTTTATTGGCAAATGAATAAAGATTTGTATCGAACCAATACAGCAGGGTTTGGGGGGGTGTTCTTTTTTTAATCATCCCCTGTCTCAAGCCTTGTGGGAACAGCGAGTTTCCCTTCCCCTCCTGCAGCACATCGATTCCTGAATTAGACTGCAATATTAAATAATTAATATACTTGCCGTGATTGATGTTTTGCATTAGTTGAATATTAGGTTATCAATCAAAATCCACTTGGTTTAATGTAATAATATTGAAAAAGTGTCACTGGCTGTTCATCCAATTTGTAGTTGAGGCAGCACAGACAGGAATATTGGTGTAACACGAGGCCCTAACACAGGAAATGCACTGGTTGAACATCCATAAGGAAAACATTATCAAACTAACCAGGACAAGGCTGAGCTTGTCCTAAATAAACCTTGGGGCACCTGTCACTTCCAATGAAAACCCTTCCCAGCCAGGGGCTGCTGGGGATCAATGAGCCACCAGCCAAGCCACAGCAGCACCTGATCTTTTAGTTAAGCAATAGATTACAATATATCAAACAATTAGATGTATTATCCAGTTATATTATTTATATTACACAAAGGAGAGTCCCATCCATCCTCTATCCCATATGTTCCCCCTGCATGAGCAGACCTATGGCCTCACCTTTAATGGCTGCAGAATATCTTAACCCATAAATCACCACAAATAACGGCCAAGAGCAGCTTTGTGCACATCCAATACTCCAAAACTCAGATAAAAGGACACCACAGACTTTTAGTAATCTGATGTCACCATCAGTAATAACGGTTTACTCCATTTTGCTGTTTACTCCACACACCAAAGTCCATATTTGCCTTTCATACCATTTCCAGGGCCCCACAGTTTTTTTGGGTGGGTTGTTTGGGAGTTTTTTGGGGTTTGTTTTTTTTTTTTTTTTTTTTTTTTTTTTTTTTTTTTTTTTTTTTTTTTTTTTTTTTTTTTTTTTTTTTTTTTTTTTTTTTTTTTTTTTGGTTCACTAGACAAGTTTCATTTTATTCTGGAGTTTTCCTTTTTTTCCATCAGAAAGCTCTGGAATGGTGTTTCCCCACTGCAGCCAGGATTTTTGGTGTAAAAATACCACCTGATAAGCATTTAAAATCATACATTAAACCAGCAAACATAACACTCAGGCTAATCCAAACGTTTCAGGATTGCCAGGGGAAGAAATTCCATCTCCATTTGAATCATGGTCATGGGGGACCTGTTACAACAAGCCAAGAATTCAATTAAGCAACTTCCAGGATCTTTAAGGTCCCATCCAACCCAAACCATTCTGGGATTCTCTAAATTTAGCTAAGACTGGGATTACTTAAACCCAGAGTAGGTAACTATTTGAGGTGGTGTTAACTTAGAGGTTCTAGTTTCTTTGCCAGTCAACTAAACTAAAAATATTCACTAGCACTTGTTGGAAGTCATGATTTTAACCTGGAATATACTCATGTTCCTAAAAATAATCCCCATATCAAAGCAACCATTAATCAAGGGAGCTGGAAAACGTGCAATATCTTCAAAATATCCAAATTTAGGTATTATAAAATAGCCTGCAACATCACATAAATTTTACTTTTCAGCAAACTCATAGCAGTTTCCCCCAGGAACTGTAGAACTAAGACACATTTTCTTTGCCGTGGTTCTTGGGTTCAAACCCACAGACCATGGAATATTTCTGTGGATTATCTGTACCTATGGATATTGCAGGATAACTTGGGTTGAAGGGCCTCTGGAGGGTGCAGAGCCTTATCCAGGCTGGTCTTGGAAGCCCAGCTCCAGCAGGAATGTGTCCTGCTGATCCAGTGTCCTCACTGGGGGCATCTTCCCTTTCCCTCTGCTCCAAACACTTGTTTTGTGTCTCTTCCCCCACCACAAACCACTCCAAAGAGCCCAAACCCCCTTTCCTTGGTGATGTCCCTCCTCCTCAGGCTGGTGGGTACCACGAGCTGCCCCCAAAGCCCCCTCTTGTCCAGGTTGAGCCCCCCCAGTCCCTCAGGGAGCTGCTCCAGCCCCCTCCCATCCCGGTGGCCTCAACTGCCCCCTGAACATCCCAGTGTCTGATTCAGCCCCTCAGATCAATAAATCCCCTCCTCATTAGCCAGGCCTTTGGCAGAACACCCCCCCAGGTCCCCAGCACTAACGAGGAGCTGCAGGAGGAAGGTCACACACAGCCTTTGGGGTCACCAACCCCTCCAAAGGGGACCTGCTCACTCCACCCCTCCCAAGCCTGGCAGGTGTGACCAGGAGCATCACCCCAGGTGCACATGGATAATCCTCCCAGAGCTCTCTGGCCCTTCCAATTCCCTCGGATGGTTCCACGAGCACATCCCGTAATGCTGTCAATAATCTGTCAGGAGTCACCTGAAATAATCCCCTTTTGTCCCCCTATTCCTCCTGGATGAAGAGCCTCACAGCGGAAGGTGTTCCTGGAACAACCTCATGTTTTCCTGTTTTTTATCCTCACCTTAACCTTCAGCCTTCCCTACAAATCTTCCTCTGAGCAGCCCCCACACCTCCTATTTTTCTTTGGCGTGTTATCGATCCCCACTTTTATCTACCATTTTAGATCAATTATTTAGATGTTTATCTACTATTCTAGACAAACAACCTCAAACCAAACAGCTGAATCTCTTCAGGAACTTCAGCAGGCGACAAGATATTAAACACTCACCAATACAAGGGATGAACACGTGAAATCCACCTTGAGAGCTGGCCAGGTTTGGCCAATTACTAATAAATTTAAATTTAAATGCCATAAAGACTCAAGGTGATCACATGAAGGTCACTTAGAAAAAAGCAGGAAGAAAAGCAGAAGTCACCCCCTACACAAACACACTGGAATAACTTGGGACTGCCCAGGAACTCGGTGGAATATAATGCAAGGTAAATTGAATCATGCTAAAACCAGGGACTTCAAACAGGACACAAGGTGAAACAATTTCCATAATATGTTATCCTGGAGAGAAGGAAAATCGCTGCCCAAGAGGCCTTATCAAATATTCAAGAGGGGGAAATATATATTTATATATAACCCCGAATGACAGAGTAAAAGGCAAGGTTTTATGCAGCTGAAATAAATACTGAAACTAAACAAAGGGGGGAACATCAAAACAGAGCATTGATAGAATCAGTATTTCCAAACACACCTACAAAAATATTCCTTTCCTTTGCATGTATTTCTCAGATGAAAAAGGAGCCAAAATAACTCCCCCAAAATCACCTGATTTCAGTTTTAGCAAGACTTCAGGTCAGATATGGAAATACCAAAGCAGGTTTCTTTATCCTGGATGCCAGTTCGAGCCACTCCTCACTAAACCTGGCAATGCCAAGGACCTCAGAAGATGCAAATCCTTGGAGTTCTCATATATGGAGTGGGGTTTGATTGGTTTTTCCCTTTGATTTTCCCTGGAGTTTCCATATATGGAGTGAGGTTTGGTGGCTTTTTCCCCCCCTGGGTTTTGGGTGGGTGGGTTTTGCCCTCCCGTTCCACGCTCAGGGTCCCCTTCCCAAGGAGCCAAACCTCGCTCATCCCCGTTTCCATTCCCAGCAAACACAAATAATTAAGCATCAGGAACGTCACTGTGTTAACCAGCCTTCAGTAAATTAGACAACTTTGGCCTGCTTTACCTTCCCTGTAATATTATTTTGTAGATATTCAATTAAAACACATCCTGTAGGTGAAAGTGGAGGAAAACATTTCCAGCACGGCCCCGTCAGCGCCGGTCGGAAGTGTTGCTAATTAGCCTCAAAGTACAAAACAGATCAGAAAAAAAAGTAGCAAAAAGCCCAGCTTTGTAAATGCCCAGAACGCTGGGCTGAATACTAAACAAAGCCCTGCAAGTTTTAATGTCGGGAAGCACAACTACAGGGAAAAACTCTCCGGACTAGTAGCGAGTGTTACAGGTTAATGAGGAACACAGAAAGAGTGCACAGTAATTACCATACCCAGCACCTTCCCATCTGTGTTTGGATGGCTCTGGAATATAAACACAGTTGATCAGCATTAAGCCTGGAACTAATGACACATGTATTTGTGTTTGCATACTGGCAGGATAAATATTGAGAGCGGGAGCTCCCGAGGAACATTCGCGAGGCACGGAGGAAATTTAAACGTTCTAAGCGCTAAAACAATTTGACTACAATCAATTTTCCATTTTCTGAAAGCTTCCAAATCCCCCCTCATTCACCCAATTACTACTGTACTTAACCTAATGAAATTTTATTCTGTGGGAACAATGCTATTCTCCAACAACAACAACAAAAATAAAAATCTG